AACCCTGATGGCCTGCTGGACACCAACAGGGTGGGTGAAGGTGGTGGCGACTACCCCTTCCAGGACCAGCCCACCTATTTCCAGAAGCAATTTGGTTCAATGCTGCAGCCTGGGGTCAACAAATTCTCCCTTCGCATGTTTGGCAGTCATAAAGGTGTTGCTGCTGAACAGGCCAGAGTCAAGAGCTATGGACTGTGGATCATTCACCCCTACAGTGATTTCAGGTAATGATGACCTTGGCTTATCTTCAGAATTTCCTTGTAAATTCAGGGATGTTTGTGAGAATGTTTTGGCAACAGTATTTGTGCAAAGTATGGACAAAAATTCAGAATGGGTCAGTATAATTTCCCCAGCACAGTACGACCCAATTTGTAACTGATCCTCCTTTGAAAGCATCCAGTTTTCATCCAACCAAACAGATTGCGGTGGAGCGCTCAGATCCGCTTTTATCAAGGGCAGATGATAAGGCGATGAGGGGATGTGATTAGTGATACAGTATATAGGATCAGATCATCTGGATTAATGATACCACTCTCTTTTTGCTCCCTTTCTCCTGGTTTATGAGGGGGGCCAACAACAGTGACCTGATCTGATCTGACTGATCTGACCATTTAAGTGATCCAGTGTATTAAACTGAAACACATTTCTTGCTTTCATTTTGTCTCAGTTTGGAGGATCTGTCAGATCATTCTACTTTTGGGGCACCATACAGCCATGCCCGTGCAATCTGTCTGTGTGGTCACCATCAAATTGACATGTTTTAGACATCAGGCCTGTGCCAGGCAGAGAGGATAAACCTGTATAGAGGGATTATTGCCCATAAGGATCCCTATAATTCCAATCTTGCTCTATTGTGCAATAATACACAGACTGCTGAGGGGGAGATTACTGAAGGCCTGCTACCCTTAAACCTTATGGTCCAACTTCCCCTTTAAAATGGATGAGTTGGAACAGTGTGTTCTTGGTGCTCAGCTTTCCTGTTTAGGGGTTAAGGTCAAATTGCCAATTCCTTTTTTGCATATTCAATCCAGTTTAAAGTTGTCAAATAACCTAATGACAATTTTATCAAACTATACATACATGATAGATAGATAGATAGATATTTTGAGTGAAAATCTGTGTTTTACATTTTCAACAAAACAATCTGACCTAAAAGTCCACTCACTGGCTTGTTGTGAAGCTGTTGTCTGTGCCACACAGTTTTCATCAGTTTGCTCAGTTGTCATGGAGCAGCAGATGTTCAGACTTTCTGGTTTCTGAGCATAGCCTGCTGAGGTTGTATTCAGGCACAGTATTGCCTTGATCTAAATGCAAACGCCAACATCTTAGCATGCTCACAATCAAAATGTTGGCATGCTGTTTTTCAGCAGGTGTAATGTTTATTGTCTTAGTTTAGCATTTTAGCATGCTAACATTTTCTAAATAGCACTAAACACAAATGACAGCTGATAATGTTTTTAGTTTTGCATGTACTGTATTTGGTCATATACCAAAGTACTGGACAAATAAACAGTTTTGGCCTGATGGTGGTGCTGGATGAAAATGGGGATCCCCAATATGATTATCATCCTGTAGAAATACGAATGTCTGTTCCATCTTTAATGGCAATCCATCCAGTAGTTGTTGAGATATTTCACTCAAAACCATAAATGCCATGGTGGCACCAGAGGAAAAGTCAGAGGATTGCCAGATTCATTAGTTATCCTCTGAAGATCATTAATGCCTGCATAAAAAATTTCATAGCAGTACACTGACATATTTCAGCCTGGACCAAAGGTGGTTGACTGACTGACAATGACATCCCTAGAGTCACGCCACTAGCATGGCTAAAAAGGTAAACAGCAGAAAAATGGCCAGTAGTCACTTATCTTGCCAGCAAATATGTAAACAGCAATCTGGAAAATCCTGATCTTTATTTTTTGAATGTCAGACTTGGTTAGTTCTTAGTTATTTATAACTTTACAGCTTTACAAAGGTACAAGTTAAAAACCAACAGATATGATCCTGGATTCAGACTAAATACTATCAAACCACAATCCTACTCCTGTTCTAATCCCAGTGTTTGTCTAAAAGGTTTCAGACACAGCATAATTAATTGTGTTTCTCCCTCACACACACACTTCAGAGTCTTTGGTGGAGTTATTAGGAGCAAGCAACCACTAATCTGTTGCAACATGAGAGGATATGATAAGTAGTCATGTAAACCAGCATGTAGACACAGAGGACATGGACGCGAGAGATTGATGGAGGGATAAATGTGAATAAGAATGAGGAACTAATCTATCTGTTCCTATATCTCTGCTCTGACTGGCTAAAGAAGGTAGTTGTATTCTCACAGGGGTCATAGTGCCAACAGTAATCAAAAACACTCTGGTTCATATTCGGTTACTGGGCCTCTGTAATGAAAGAGAGACTGAGAGCGAGTGAGAGATGCAAAGTGATTGATAGTTGATGGAAACAGTCTGTAAGGAAACCCAAACCATATACGTGACACTGGAGCCCTAAGCTTCAACTCTCAGATACCTGAATCATCAAACCACACATCACAATCCAGACATCTCCAGTGGTAGGGATACTTTCTTGTTTACATCGTCTTCTTGATAGCATATCGAACCTAATGAAGTAAACACCATGCATTTTTATGAGGGGTTTCTTATGTGACGGGAGCTGTTATGAAATGGGTCTGATTGGATGGTTTAACTTGAAGAAACGGAAAGAAGAAAATTTCCTCCTGAACAGCATTAAAACAATTAGATACCACATATCCCTCATTCTGTAACAACACTGGCATGTCTGAATAAACCCATAAGGAACATTAGCATTAGAGTCACCATGTTTGGATGACACCAAACTATAACCTTACATCCACGATGAAACCAGCAACATAACATGTTCCATCTCTGATAAGGGTCACTGTGATGTCATGGCAGCTAGGTGTAAATACAATCCTTAGAACATGACTTCATCCTTAAGAAAAAGATCTGCCACAGTCTGTCACTAGTTAACTAACGCTGCTGCTTCCTGCTAGCTTAGGTTGCCTGTCAAAAGCTGCAAGTAAAAGCAGTAACCAGCAAGGCTTTCCTTGCAAACACTCACTTAATAATTAATGACGCTGTTACATGGCATGACTTCCCTTGACTGGGGACGTTCCATGTTTGTAGATTAATACAGGTATAAATGTAAAGGCCTGTGGATCAAATGTCATTATGCTGATCGTGTATGCAGATAGAGATCAGGTGTAAATGGAACCAAGAGAGAGACGGTGGTGGCTCACTAGCTAGTGAATATAAGTAGCAACTGAAGCAAAACATTTTGTTGACACCTCAAGATGTGAAAAATTCATTAATTCTATGAACAGATATTGAGTATGAGCCTTAGTTATTCAACGCTTCAGGATTATTAACCTGCATTTTTGTTCAAAATATAAATATATTGCTTCTATTTTTATCCCACTGATTTTTTTAACGATGTTGCCATTTATCCACAAGCTGAACAGTTTTATCTCAATATCTGATTTAGCTCAAGTACAGTCTGCCAACTGCACCATTGTTTCTATGGAGAATCAAATATTTTAGGAGGATTTCAGAGTTACTCACTGTTCGGTAACACTTATCAACCTCTGTCTCTGTCCATTCACTAGAAACCGGAGACAGTCACTTGTCGATTTGAGCAGACTTACCAGCACTAACACTGTCAATCAGTAGCAAAATGATACTTAATGTGCACTCCATCCTATTCAGTCTGTAGAGTTTATTTGCTCTGACCTGTGAGTCCTGAAGACGCCATCTTTGGTCAGTATCAGTTATAGATGCTGCACATATCAATATGCAGCTGTATGTATATAGCAGCTGTGGGAAAAGATTTTGGATTAGTAGTATAAGTAAATAAAAACCATACCTTTATGTCTTTCAACCTGAACCTCCCACCATTCTGTTCTGTCCAGGTTTTACTGGGACATTGTGATGCTCCTGTTGATGATGAGTAATCTGATCATTTTGCCCTGGGGAATCACCTTCTTTGAGGACCAGAACACCACACCCTGGATCACCTTTAACGTCCTGTCTGACACTCTCTTCCTCATGGACCTGGTTTTCAACTTCCGTACAGGCATCCCGGGAGAGGACAGCCACATCGTCCTGGACCCTAAAGAGATCCGCATGAATTATCTCCGCACCTGGTTCCTGGTGGACTTTATCTCCTCCATCCCTGTTGACTACATCTTTCTCATCGTTGACTTGGAGTCCCGGCATGAGTCATCTGATGTGTACCGCACTGCCCGTGCCCTCCGTATTGTGCGGTTCACTAAGATCCTCAGTCTGCTGCGTCTTCTCCGACTGTCTCGCCTCATCCGTTACATTCACCAGTGGGAAGAGGTAAAGGAAAGGGAGGGAAGAAGCCTTGCTAAGTATAGGATGATACAGAAACAAAGCTCATGTGTACATACACACCAGAAATTCAACATTTTGCCACTTTAATTTTGTTTCTTTTCTCCATGCAATGTTCTCACTATCAGATTTTCCATATGACCTATGACCTGGCCAGCGCTGTGGTGCGTATAGTCAACTTGATTGGCATGATGCTGCTATTGTGTCACTGGGACGGCTGCCTGACCTTTATGGTGCCTATGCTACAGGACTTTCCTTCAGATTGCTGGGTATCTAAAAATAATATGGTGGTGAGTACAGGTTCACCAAGATATAGTTAAATATATACCAAAACCTTATACTTAAAGGGAAGGTTCCGCATTTGGGGAAATATACTTATTCACTTTATTTCAAAAGTGGAAACGGCTGCTTTAACTCTGTCTAAAAGTAAAGCAGTCCACCTACAGAACAGCACATTTAAGACACTGATTGCTGATACTGATGCTAATACTTCTCTCCTTTTACTTAAGTAACAATAGTGAATGCAAGACTATTACTTGTAACAGAGTATGTTTACACTGTGGTATTGCTACTTTTACTTAAGTAAGGGGACTGAGTGCTTCTTCCACCCCTGAATAATAGATTGCATTCATTCAAGGAAAATTATTGGAAATTTTTAGAAAATCGTTGCATGTAAATTATGTTACTGACACCTTCATTTAATACATGCTGCATTCATTTGGCATTTTTTTAGAAAATGTATTTATGCCCATATCCAGGTAAAGTTTACTTTCTATGACAAATTAGCTGTGCCCTTCTCATCTCCCCTTGCTTTTACCCCATCTTTCCCAGAATGCTACATGGCACATACAGTACTCATATGCCTTATTTATGGCAATGAGTCACATGTTATGTATAGGATATGGTGCCAACCCCCCAGAAGGCACGAGTGACGTTTGGCTCACCATGGTCAGTATGGTTGTAGGGGCCACGTGCTACGCCATGTTCCTTGGCCATGCAACTAACCTGGTCCAGTCCTTGGATGCATCACATCGCCAGTATCAAGAGAAGGTAATTATCACTGCTCTGACTTGAAAAGTTTAACAAACGGAACCATTTTGAGCAACAGCTGTGCTGTTTTGTGGACAATATCTCCCAGGAGCCTCACGTGGATGCTAATGTGAGTCTAGCTTTGTGGTTTAAAATTATAGGCTTGATTACTTGTGTGTTCTTTTTTCATGGAAACTGTGCCAAATGTCTAGAGAATATGTGTATTATCTAATGGATTTTGTGGCCTTTACTGTGACCCTCTCTGATGGATTTTTATAAAATAAAGCTGAGAGGATAATAGACATTGCGACGCTTTTGTTTCGGATCACTGTTTGCTAATACCCATTACAAATGAGTTTGTAATCCACTTAATACTGAAAAAAGCCTGAATAACAAATAGAATGAATGATTAATTATTGTACTTAGGAATAATTTAGCAAACACATGGTAGAAAATGTGACTAAATGTGACATCTGACATCAATCCTTCAGAATTTAAACTCATGAAGATCAAATCACCAAATGTTGTGCAAATGTTTTCAGTATAAACAAGTGGAGCAGTACATGTCATTCCATAAACTGCCAGCGGATGTGAGACAGAGGATCCATGATTATTATGAACAGCGATTCCAAGGCAAGATGTTTGATGAGGACAGCATCCTTGGAGAGCTCAGTGATCCACTCAAGGAGGTGTGTTACTCATTAAAAATTTTGATTTGACTTCCTGTCTTGCTTTCTATTATGTCCTCAATGTCTTGTGTAGAGCTGAAATGATTATTGAATTCACAGAAAATAAATTGGAAACAATCTTGATAGTCAGTTCATTATTTTATTCTGTTTTTTTTTTCTAGCAATAATGCATTTCTTTGCCATATATGATCACAACATGAGCATCTTTGGGTTTGGACTACTGATCAGACAAAACAAAAGATTTCAAGTTGTCACCTAGAGCTCTGGGAAGCTGTGACTTATTTTTTATTTGTCTTTTTTTTACCTTTTGTAGGTCAGGTAATCAAAAATAATTAGCAGATTAACAATGAAAAGAATTATTAGTTGCAGCTTTACTG